TTGCTTAGGAATACTGCTAAGGGACTTCTATTTAGGTATTTTGTACGCTGTTAGATGTATAGATGTATTCTCCCCTGGACACTTGGAGATAGCACTTGATGTGCTTCTCATGCTGATGCAGGTTTATATGCTTTTCAGAGGCAATAGGAACTTAAGTATCACTGTGTCTGAAATGCTGTGCTATGAATTTGATAATAATCAGAGTTTAGAAACTGAGATATGTTGTGCAGAGGGGAAAGCTGATTTGTAGCTGATAATTGAACTCCAAAGTGGAGCTCAGATTGCATGGTAAATGCTTCTTTATAGCAGTGATTGGAAGGCACAAAATGTTTTATACAAGAGCAAATAGAAACTGATGCACTTAACACTCCATAAATTTAAAAAAGGCAGTTTATCATAGTCATTTTTAGTATAATGTTCACTAATAATGGAAACATATCCTGTTATCCACTTTTAGAGAACGAATGTGTAGCAGATAACTGAAGCTTGTAATAGGCTCTAGAGGTAGATTTGGGACAGTTCTTTGGGTTTTTATTTCTAAATGATGATAAAACGTACATTCATGATGGCAAGAATATGATTGTAGACTATTATATAGGACTAGTCAATCTTTACTCTGCAGAGCCCATTGATGGTGCATTGATGCTGCCCAGCTCTTGAAGTCCTGTGGGTGTGTATCTGGGGAAAAGGTGTCTAGAAACCACTTACTGTTGAGGGGATTTCATTTCTGCAGCATTGTTTGTTTTGTCACTTCTCTCTTTGAAGATTTTTTTTTTTTTTAGAATTTCTGTTTCAATCAGAAAACTTCCTCAAAGTCATATTTGAACCTTAAACTACTTGCAACTCTATATTTTACGTGAGACACCTCTGCTGCCTTGGAGAGGGATAAGTGGCTTTCCAAATGCTGGATAGGTCAGTCCTTAAAGCACGTGAACTGAGTTCATATCACTGCACGATAATCTCGAAAAGCCTGTGAAATTTTCCATAGTGCTTGGAGGTTTGTTTTGTGTGTCCTTGTTTTTTGCAAGTTGGAGAGCAGATCCAAACCTCCTTCACCTGTTTCGTATCACTTTATCATCTTTAAAAAAAAAAAAAAAAAAAATCTGTGTTATGACTTGGAAACATCTTCAGAACACTTGATTCTGAGACGTTAATTTTGAGTAAGCTGCATCCTTCGTATTCAGGTATCAGGTATTTGGTATGCAGTGTTAACAGGAGAGGAGCTGCTCTGTTTGTTAGGATGCTGACCATGCCTTTGCACTAGCTATGTAGTGTCTCAGTGGGAAGACGTGCTGTGCTTCGCTGCCATGACTGCTGAGAGGCTTCAGCACCGAGGAGAGCACTTTTTCTTCCTCCTCCTCCTCCCCCTCTTCCTCCGGAAAGCCGTGGTGGGTTTTATTACAACAATTTTGGGCATAAATACAGCCGTTCTGCTGTATTTCAGTGCTGTGCCCTGCTCCCTTTCAGAGCCTCAGTGCCAAGTGCTCTGCTGGTGCCATATCAAATTAGATACTGCAGGTTTCCAAAGCTCGGAAACATAAGTGTGACTGACGTTCCTCGCGGCATATCATACATGAAATATATGCAATAAAGATACATCTGACCGACCCTGCTGACTTATTTTTCATCCTGGGAGCTGCAGCTGACATGGGCAGCTCCTGCCCTGCAGCTCTAGTGCAGTAATATTAGAAAAACAAGCTTTTCCTGATCAAAAAGCCCCTTCCAATCCCAGCTTCCAATTAGCCATGTAAAGGCAACACTGAGAGCTGCATATCTGCTTTCTAGTTTTCTGATGTTTCCCTCATCAATTCCTTGGGACTGGTTGGCACATTACTTACAATTTGGAGGGTGGATAACGTTAGGAGCTGAGCCATTACATCCAATGACTGCACGGTTCAGCGTTTCTCAGTGCCATCCTTTGCTGCTCCAGCTGTAGCACCAACTGTTCCTGGCTTTCCTTATTGCTGGCTCTCATCACAGTTCTTGGAAGTGCCTGGATTATCTTTGTTTTCACAGTGGGCAAAAACCTCAGATACACATCCCAGAGTAATTGATTCTTTCCCAACTTTTGCCATTTGAATTTTAAAGCATGTAAGTCCAAAACAGTGGAGCAGTGCATCCCAGCAATGCAGTGTAGCCATCCATGTAGCGCGGATCTTTCAGATCCATTGGCAGCTGGTCCCTAAAAGACTGATGATTTAACTAAATCCCTCCTAGGTGACTTCAGGGTTCTCCTGCACACCAGTCGATTTCCCTGCCTGTTTAAACCATGAAAAAATAGCCTGCTGAGCCAAAAGGCAGTGTTCACACTTCTGAATGTGTTCATTCACTGTGAACGAACTGGCAAAAGTTTCTGCAGTGGTTTGTCAAGAGCTGATAGATTTGAGTGCTCAGACTGTCAAACAGGGAGGTTTGCAAGGGGAAGCCACCTCATAGACCCGAGAAGCACTTGGTAGCAAGCCTCCTGTTGCCCGAGCTGTTCTCCCCTGCTTGCCTCTTGCCCATCTTCCCTTCTCCATCGGATGCCTTTTAGCAGTCCCTCCTGCAAAGACCCAAAGGTAGGAGGGAGCTGGAGTGGCACTGGACGTGCTTTGCCGTCTGCATTCGTGTTGCTGCGTGGCTGTCCTTTTCTGGTGGTGTAAAAGGAAAAAATGTTCTCCGTAGGGTGTGCTGTATTTAGGGACTGCAAAGCTCGTGCCTAAACAGTGCCTGCAAAATGGTCTTTCCCTAGGGCTTGTTACCCAGCTAGTAGGGCTGCTGTAACAGAGATGACAACGGCAGGATTTTGCAGTTGGAGTAAACATGGTAGCTGTATCTGGACAGTAAATTATATGCTTTTTCTCACTCTTGCTGTTTGGGAGAGCATTGAGACACTTGCCTTTCAGAACTTAAAAACTATTTAGGGGGAATTTCTGAACCTAGATAGTAGATGTCCAATTGAAAATAATTTGCACAAATCCTTCTGGAATCCTACCATTTAGTTTGGCATTAATGTTCTGTTTGCTCTAGGACTAGCACCATTAATACAGACACGCTTGGGCTAACTGCATTGAAGAGTCATTGTGTCCCAATTAAGAAAAGGATGAACATAAAAATCTGGATTAATTTTCTCATCACCTCTGACATATTTTAAAATATGTATGTATTCCAGGCAGAGAATTGACAGCTCCAAACAGCCAAACCAGCTTCCATCTTTATGTCGAGATCCCAGCTGGCTCACCGGGGCCAAGCAACATTAGGCTGCTTTTGTCTAATCTAATAACTAGGGAGAAAGTGAGGCTAAATGACAGCAGCTGTGGCCCTGCCATACCAGATGTGGCTCGGCCTCTTTTTTTTGAGGTGAGGGATTACAAAGACCCCCAAATAATGGGTTAATCCCAGGGAGGCAGTGAGGATGAGGGGGGTGGGAGCCCTTGTCAGGGAGGAATCCACCCCCAAGCTTTGGAGAAAGGAACAAAGAAACCTTGGCAGTTCCGTGTCAGGCTTTCCTGCAGGGCTGCAGAAGTCTACAGACATGCTTTTGACTTTCGACTTTTCCTCGCTCAGTTCAAGGAAAACCCTTGAATACCACTTCTTTGTGCAGCTAAATGCATGAGGCAGCAAAGGCAGCAAGGAGCCAAAGTTTGTGATATTCTGGTTTAAATGAGACTTCACCCCTCTTTGATCTGCTGTGGCATACCTCTATAGCCTGCTCCTCAATCAGAGGGTTTGATGTAAGGAGTTCCTGAATCATTGTGGAGCCGTGGAAATTGTCTGCTTGGAAGTTACGGTATGGCAAATATATCTCACATACACGAGCTGTCATTTATTGCATTTCCTAGGAGAGGTTGTGTTAGCCTTCCACATTGCTTTTAAGATGGACTGTTCTCACTGTGGGAGCTTCATGTTTGTTTTTTCCCCACAGCTGAAAAAGATGCATATTTTTCGTAATTTTTAATGTTGTACAGCTGCTTTATGTAAAAATGTGCTTCGTCATTTTGATCATTCTTTTCCAGCCATAAATATGGCTGAACACTTTGGTTTCAATTTAAATCTAATGCTATGTTTTTAGTATTTAACATCTACCAGAAGTTTTTGCTGCAGGAAAAGTGCTACCCAGGCTATTTTGATCTATATACAGAGACTATGATATCGAATGCTTATGCAGGATTCTCAATAAAAACAGACATGTTCTGCTTCATTATATTGGAAATAATTGCAGTGATTGGAGCATTTTGGATTTTTTTCCTTAAATCTATTTTACATTTGAACAATATATTCAGAAACCTCTCATTGCCTGTTTTTGCATATTGTCAGTATCTTGATGGCAGTTCTGCTTATTTGGTTCTTGAATTTGGGGCTTGGGGATGGTAAAAGGGAGCAGTTTCTGTGTTATCAGTGCACATGGATGCAGGAGAGAATGGGTAGAGAGAGTGGCTATTTGAGGACAATATGAAAAAAATATATATTTTAGATGACAAGTATTTCAGATGAATTTCCATGACAGGTGCTGCTCCTGTAATTGATTTTAGAAATATTTTACAGGCTGAATTACTATTACAAAGGGAATAAGGTCTGTACATATCATGATCTATTTATTTATTTATTTATTTATTGGTTGTGTTCAGAAAAGCTTGGGGCCAAAGATTTCCAAATCTGCCCCACATCTGCAGCGTATTGCCAATGCTTATTAGACAGCAGTTCTTACCAGACACCTAAAAAGCACCATCACACAGGCCTGCTATATGCCTTGTGTGGCACAAAAATAATAGTTGGGGAGTTGTCAAATGCTAATCCTATATCCACTCAATCACCAAGAATTCACTCTTGGTTATCAATTTACTCTTATTTTCAAGAACATTGGGTATGTTGAAAGTTGTGAACTGCTGCTTTGACTTGCTCAGGCCTTAGTCACTAATGTGACTTATGCAAAGGTACTGAGTTTAATCAAAGATACCATGTGAATGAGAATCTATTAAAAACTGTTCAAAGCTCTATGAATTTATTTCTTTTTCCTTTAGGAGACATCACTCAGAAAGGATATGAGAAGAAAAGGGCAAAGCTGTTAGCACGGTACATACCACTCATTCAAGGTAAGAGCCTTTATAGGTTACCTCTTTCACACTGAATTTGTAAAAAGGTAGAGGAAAGAAATGCCCTCATTAAAAAGAATGGATAAGTTACGTAACTTGATTCAAATTGCATGCAACCAGTAGTAAAAAAAGGCGTGATCTCATAGAGAAGTACATGAAAAGACAGAGATCTAAAATGCTTTTTAACATTGCATGTGAAGTGCTAAGTGGTAACATTTTTGTTAGCAAATTTCCTTTATTTTGAGAACTAAATCTAAGAAATGGCACATCTCCAGTTTCATGAAATGAGTACACTTGCTAGTCTTATTTGGGAATATTGGCTTAATTTTTACTTTAGGCATTTACTAATTTATATTTCCTCTAAATATTGAACCTTTTCCATATTTTCTTGGAAATAATGGCTTTTCTGCTACATACTCCAGATGGTTATTATCAGACTGTCTTCAGTGTCCAAAAAGCTAGAAGTCCAACTCTTTAAATCATGCTAGGACACTTAAATCACTGCATTGAAGCTCCTGTGCCGTCTCCTAACATTTCTTGTATAGCTTGAGAGATTTCTGTTAAGCTGTGGGAAAGCGAGAAGGCCAAGAGAAGCAGAATTGCTAACGAGACACTGTAAAGTAGAAGAGATGAAAAGAATGACAAGTGTTATTTCATAGTGTTAACATACTGTATATTCTCTTACACTGGAGAATAGGGGGAAAATGCTGCAACTTTGGTTCTGTTTTGATTGTCATTTCTGGAATTGATTGATTGATTTGAAGTAGGAACGGGCATCTCTGCTCAGGTTTGAACAAGCAGCTGAGCTACATGCTGCTACTTTTGCTCTTAATCCTTAGACATCCAAAAATGTCTATGCTGTCCAATATATAGGGATCTCTATTAAGTAGAAAAAGTGGCATTAACTTTTCTAGGTTGACTTGCTAGTTCTAGTAAGTGCCTCTTCATTCCAGGTCACAGTGGGTTCCTGCTGACTCCTGAGTTGTTACAGTGCATGCTTGGCCTGTAGCAGTTGGAATACGATCCTGGTGTGTCATCATCCAATTTTAAAAAAACTTTTTTACAACCAGCTGTAGCTTTTCCATGGGGAGTAATTTATAATCCTCGTCTCTATAAAATGGCTTGTTCCTTAAATACATACTTTTTTTTTTGAGAAGTACTGCAGTCATCAGCAAGCCCTATCTTTACCAGTTACAACTCCTTTTTACACCATTTTTCAGAAGTGACTTAATTTTCTGTTCAAAATATTTGCTCCCTAGAATCATTTTAGCTCAAGATTTTGAGATCAGACTAAGTGCGAGTTTGGCATGAGGTTAAAAGGATACTAAAAACGTTTTGTCAATTGACTCCATCTACTAGATAGGAAATTCTTTGGAATTCTGTGCCTTTTTACGGTAACTTCAAATGGAGGCTGCAATGTCAACTGTTCACTCTCCCCTTTTCCGCATGAATCCTACTGGTTCCACATAATCCTAAATTTTGCTGATTTGGAAGCATCACAGATTGCTACATAACTTAAGATGTGGCACATATTTTTTCATGTCAAATGATCCATTTTAAGACAAAAATAGAATAGAGGCTCTTTCTTAGAATATTTCCAATAAGTTTCTCTTTCATCTTTGAGGTTTTCCGAATCTGGAATCTGGAGAACTGACTTAACATAATCGAGTTTACCAGCTTAATGTTCTGGACAGTAATTAGGAATACAATAAGGAGATAGCATTAGGGAAGCTAGTAGACATTGGTATTCTGGGATGGGTTTGTTTTTTCTCAGCTGAGAAAACACTAGTATAATTTGAACTTCAAAATTTAGACTGGCCCAGGGTACACACATTACTTCTGTGTCCCTTCAGGCTTCCTACTGCTTTAAAAATGTCTCCTTGTTCATCCAGTTCTTCTCTAGTACTTCTGAGGAGTGGACTAAAATTAGCTCATTCTATGTTTTGTCCTACTTGCTTGACACGATATTTCTTAAGGAGCAGATTACCTAATTTGCTTACAGCTTTTGCCTCAATTTGCATTAAGATGACAGGAATCTGGCTTTAATATGCTAAACAGAGTGGGTGAGCTCTCTGCCTCTGAGCACAATGAAGGCTACTTAGGCAAAAAGACCCACTTTGCTTAAAACCCTAAGTTAACTACTTGTTTAGGTTTCCTGACGGGTGTTCCATTAACCCAGTTCTAACTTTGAGTTTTGTTAATTGACACAGCTTGAGCTCAAATTAATGTGCAGGAATCCCAGCGGCTTTGTGCATGGAGTAATTTTTTTTGATCATTAATAGTTTGATCATAGGATTTTTTTGGTAATGCACTGTGCTTAGTAGCATTCCTAGTGGAATTCATTAAGTTCTCCGTTATCTGTCAAAGTTTGCTAGCTGATAAATGCCAACAGTAGAGATTTGAGTAGATCCTTTTCTGTGATTTCACCACCCCCATGATCAATAATTCATGTCTTGATAAAGTTGATTTGGTCTGAGTTTCTTTTATATGTGCTGTCAACAAATGGCACAGGTTTGGCAGCAGCTCTGAAGTCGCAGAATTTCTGGTGGGCAGATCTTTTGGTAGATGACTTGATAGATTCTGATTTAAAGACAGATTCCACAGCTTAGCACTTCTGTTAGCGCTGAAAATGTTATGTGCTATATCTTACCACATCAGTCATTCAGCCTGTCCCTGTTGTGGCATCCCGATAAAGGAGCTGGAGAGAGATTTGTATTTCTGGGAAGTGTGTTTTCATCTCCCCCGTTCCTCCAAGCATGCAGGTTGATCGGATTCAGATACTACCTCTTTATTAGGCTCACCTTTTGAATATACTTTAACTGTTAGAGTTGCAGCGATTACATCGTGTTGTGTTTTGCCATACTGGTCAGCGATTCAGAAGTAGCTCAAGGTAGGAATTCTGGCTGTTTTGGCATAGGTAAAATTTGGAATATGAGTCAACTTCACAGCAGGAAATATTACTGGCAAACCAGACTGGTTTTTCTCTGTTATAGGTTACACACACACACACACACACACACACACACACACACACACACAGGTCAACCAGTTCCCTGTGGTAGCATTTACATCTGAAATGAGTGAGGCCTTTCCTGCCTCATGCAGATGCAGGTGTGCAGAAACAACAAAGCACCTGAACTCTTTGCAACCTCTGCTATCAGCCATCATTACATCACGAGCAGCCAAAAATTGATTCTTCTCATAGCTCCCTCAGCTCAGAGATTACAGCTTGTTGTCCAGTCTGCTCATTTCCCAATCCTCATACCGTTTTTTCATTGCCATTTCAACCATATGGCTTGGCTGCAGCTCCTGTGGGAATTTTGGCAGTACGTGCTGAGTTCCACTGGCATTTCCAAATGTGCCCACGTACCAGTGCAGTCTCTTAAATCAGGTTCTCCTTGGTGCTGTTGCCCGCTCCAGCACGATGCAGGCAGCAGGATGCAGCAGTGTGCTAATCTGCTTGACAGTTTGTGCCACCTGAGGATTTACTGTCTGCACGTCGTGGATAAGAGGCCATGTACAAAGGTTAATGCTACAAATAAAGGAACTGAGGGGAGAAAATATTCAAATGAATCCGTCTCAGTGTCCAGTTTAAAACTCGCTTAAAATATCTTAATCTAGCAAGTCAGATGTGTAAGTATTCTGTTTTTTTAAGAAAATGCCATGAGGTCATTGACCTCTTCCCTGCATTAATTAGTGATTTCTTAGCATGAAGGATTTTTTTGTTTTTTTAAGTCTTAAAAATACCATCTAATGAAAAAGTTTAGCAAAAAATGTCTAGGAGCTGGAGACCTATTTTTCAGCTGTTGGAAATGAATCTCTGGTGCAATACGCAGATTGGTTGAAGTTCCAAAATACTTTGCAGTGCTTCTTAAGAGTACTCATTGCTATCATGTAATAATATAAACTCATTCTTTGAGAGCTGTAAAGTATTTGCTTCTCTCTAGTATGTTTTTAATAATCTTGCAAGAATAACATGCCCCTCCCAAATGGTAGACACTTCAATGACTTTGGTTGCATAAATGAGTGCTCTGTATCTGGAGAAAAGAAGATATGTAAACTTGACTTTCCGTGGTTTTGCAGTTTGTGAGGACACTGAGAAGGAATTCTACACTTATTCTCTGATTAAATCCAAAAGATCCCTTTATTTGATTACTCGAAACACCCTAGGAGAGTTCTGCTGGTGAGGTTAGCAAAGATGAGCACACTAGGGTGTGCTTCCTTTTGCCAGAAGTTGTTTCTCTCAGTCAACAAGTGCTCACTTTTTTCTTTTCTTCTCCCAGACATAGTTAGAGAAGTTACTAATTGGTAGCCTGTACTGTTGTAAAAGCTTAAAATACCTTAGTAATTTTAAAGAGAAGCATGGTAGTTACCTCAAAGATTCAATAACTGTTCGAGGCCAAAACAGAAATGAGATAAAATCAAGCATGGGAAATACATTGGTTGATATCCATCAAACCTTAAGATGACAGAGAGGACACGTAATGCTGTGAAGGCAACTGCTTCTGTTAGAGGCTACAGTTTTGTACTGAGTTGTTTGGTAGCACGGATTTGTTTGGGATCAGAAATCACCCAGATTTTCACACTCAGCTTTCTTCTGATCATCTATTTTTAGGTTTCACTTGAAGCTCCACATTTTAGTCTTGCTCAAATATACTTTTAAGATTATTTTTGTAGACTTATCTTAATAATAAATAGGAAACTGCTATTTTATCTGTAAAAGATAAGTAACAATAAAGCAAATATTAATCTAGATTACTTCCACTTTATGTTTGAAACCATACATATTCTTTGTTTTCCTCTGAGAGTTGTTATTTACAAGACTTCAAGTGTGAACCCTGAGTTGTTGGTCCAGTCTAGCACTAATATGGTAAGAGATCATAGTACACGTCACATTTCACTTACCTGTATTTTCTCCCAAATTAGTGCTAGCCTGGACCAACAAAGGACAACAAAACAAACAAAAAAGCCCAAAATCTGAAGGCAAGTTCACAGTATCA